ATGACTTTCACTAAAATGTTCTCGCTGGCATACTGGTATACTGTGTTAAAGTGGTTAGTGGTTACTGAAAGAATGCTAAAAGGTCAACTCTTAGCATTCTGAGTAGAACAGGAGCTCTGCCCTGGGTTTAGTATTGTAGGGATAGAGAGGACTGTCATTAAATATCCTGTGAACCAAACTGAAAAGGTTACCTTTAGAAAAAAAGGTGAGATTCAAGATTATCTTGAAACTGAGAATTGGATAAAATTTGCAAAATAAATTTCACAGATAATTCAGATCTACATTGATTTAGGAAAAACGAGTGTGCATATTTATACAAGATGACTTGACAGCTCTGTATACAAATCTGACCCAGAGGTTTTAAGAACTAAATATGAATTAATGGCCAATCCAGCAGCTAAAAAGACTGAAGTATCCTAGGCTACATCAAGTAGCATGGTGTTGAGAAGTTGTTACACCACTCAACTGTAGGTATTTGCTCAGCTGGAGTATTGTGTCTAGTTCTAGCATAATACAACATATTCAACTAAGGGAGAGTTATAAAGATGTGAAAGTCTGATGCTGTAGTATAATCAAGAAAGTTTAGAAGAGCTTTCTTGAAAATGCTTGGAGGAGAGATTATTAAGAGATGAAATAAGCTCTACTTTAAAATACTTGAAAGGCTTCTGCATAGAGAATATTTTTTTATCTAAAAGGAAGAAAAATTCAAGGTACAGTAAAAAGAACTGGAACCAAGAATTTTCTGATGGTACACACACTTTTAATAGAGGAATACAATGTTCTGGAAGGTGGTGGATTTTTCCTCATTAGCTATTTTTAAGTAGATGTAACTTACCTACTGAATACAATAAGAGTGGGTTTCCTACATCAGCAGAGAATGAGAATAGATCACCCTTCCAACACTGCATTCCTGATGGAAAACATGAATTGGATAGATTTGTGATATACTTCAGAATAGCTAAGAACCTTTTTTTGCTAGGAAATTAAGAAGCCCAATTATCATTACTGTTTATTGGACCTTCTTCTCCGTCTCTTCAAATAGCGACTGGCAATGAATAACATTTATCAATTTCTCTTTATATTGTAGCAGCTGTGCTGCATTATTTATCTTAAGGAATCTTTTGTTCAGTACTAGCTTTCGTATTAATAACAGCTCTTCTTTTCCTTCTCCTTAGGTTTGTGCGTGTGTGTCTTTTTCCTGCTGTGTTGTGTGCCTTTGTTGTGAGAATACAATAGCATTTAGTATGAACTCTCCCCCCCCCACTCTTTAAGAATCAAATTTAATTTAATAAGGTTGGGTCTAAAGCACTGAACTATTAAACTGAGTATCTGACTGCATAAAACCAATTCTCAAAATCAGAAGCATATGAATGATGTTGATGCTGCTATAAACTAAGTAAAGGTAAGACTGAAGACAGTAGAGATTATATGGAAAAAGTAACATAACCACCAGTTCACTTTGAATGAATTAGTGTAATAATTAACATTTTAATCTCTGTATGGATGCAGAGACAACTTTCTATCACACTGCAACCATAATTTAATACAGGAATAATTTAGGCATTGCACCTCAGATATTGTTAAATAGCCTCAGTTAGCTTAGTGAAGTATGTTAGAAAATGTAGGCTATTAACATTTGAAGGAACACAATTTTTGCCATTTATCTAAGTCAATCCCATATCCGAAATTTTTCCACAAAGAAGAAGATCCATTGTATATTATTACTCTGCATGTGGACTATTGTGTGCTCTATTTGGGGCTGCCCTTGAAGACCATTCAGAAATGTCAGCTGATCCAGAATTCAGAGCACAAGAAGTTATGGGCATGCTGGGGTATGTCTGCAAAATATTTCTGCTTTCTAAACTGCCTAATTACCAGTAGGTTTCCAGGTACAATTCAAAGTGCTGGTTAGGGGCCTTGACATAGGGCCTTGTTATCTGAATAACTGCCCAACTTCAGGAGTTTCTTCCCTAAATTCTGAGAAAGTGGTCGTGCCCAGAGTCTCATCAATTAAACAGTTTCATCTGATGGGACCCAGAAAGCAGAGTTTTTCAGTTGTGGTACCTGTTCTCTTAAAACCATTTCCTTAAGATTTGAATTTGTTCTCTTTTAAATAAATCTTGAAGACCTGTTTCTTCCCTTAGTCTTTGGGTGTGGACTCTCTTTATGAGGCTTTCTCATGCCTGTTCACTGGGGTAGTCATCTTTTCTGGTTGTTTTGTTTCTCTAATTTTCATTTTATATTTTGCCCAGAATTATTGAGAAATTGGGTAATCCACAGAAGGTTCCGTTGTTTTATATGGACTTTGAAAGTAATTGTTCAAAGACTTTGATTATGATCAGTTTGAAAAGAATCCTGCTTCATCATCCTAAAGATGGCCAATTTAAGCTATCTCAGTGCATGACTCTGATAATTTTTCTGCATTACAGATATTTTGCCTGGATTCCTCCCTGTCAGGATAGAGAAATATAAAATTCAGAGTGCTGTGCAGAAAAAAAAACCATGATCACATTTATATTGCATAGCATATTGAGGCACTGTGTATTGCACATTGCATATTTTTGTATTACTAACATGACTTTTAAGAACTTGATAGATTTATTCAGCTTCCCACTTACAATATATTCCTGTATGCTAAGGATGTCCAAGAGTGTTTATTACCCAGTAATAATTTTTTGTTAGTAACTTGAAAAATATTGTAATTTGGACTTTGAAATCATAAGACTAAAAAGACATTGATATTTTCTTTCCTCTTAATCAGCATTCTGGTGTCTCATATTTGAATATATGTAACTTTTAATTTATTATGTCTTTAAAAACAGCAACAACCCTAGCATTCTTTGTATCCTGCCAGTGGCCAAGGGGCTAGTGGGAGCGGTTTGTGGTTTGTTCAAGCTAGACATCATCACCCCTGTTGTTCAGACTGAAATCTTGGTAGCTTAGGATTGGGCCAGCAGGGGATGGAGGCAGGGAAGGAAGTTTTTCTCTGATGGAAGCTTGCTTGCTGACTTACACTTTTTCATGATTGGGGCTGCCTTCCCCCTCCCTTTCCCTTCTAAGGGGAGGTTAGTTTGATGAGGTGCCTCTCTATTTCTGAGGCAGAAGGCAGGCCTTGTCCAGCTGGTATCTTGAACTGACACAGGTGCAAAGACTGCAGGGGGTGGGATCCAAGAATAATTGCATGTTTCTCAAAGCATCAGGCCTTGCCCAAAGGGGGGTTTGCGGAAATGGTTCTTTATGGAAAATTAATGACAAGGCTTAAAGCTTGTCAGGATCACTGTGGTCATCAGAGAAGGAGTAATGCCTTACAGGGACGGCTCCCTCCTGTCTTCTCCACAGGATATTAGCTGACCCAACACAGCCTTGTATCATCTGGAGACTTCACAAGGCCTGTGCTGGTTTTAGTGTTCTTTGAAAATCTTTTTCCCATCTAACTCTTGCTAACCAAAGACTCATGGGCTTTGTATTTAGAGTGTGAGCCTCACGATTTCTCTTCTAAGGAGAGTAAATCAAGCTACAGAGTGATTGTTATTTCTATTGTGACAAGAAGAAATTCCATGAAAGTTAAGCATGGAGAAAACAATAACATTATGCTTATTATTTATTCACTAGCTGTTTAGGAGATGACAAATCCTATGTTTGACTGAATTTTCTATTATATATAATTTGGTTTAACTAAACATGTGTGAAAGACTAATCTATATAAATGGACATTTGTAAGGTTTTAAATCTCCTACTTGCCTTTGCTAATCTTAACATTTGCAGACCTGTAGCTAGCAGCTCAGACAGCACTGCATTTTATTGTCTCCTGATTGTATCCATTTGAAAGAATTGCAAGCAGCCTGTATTTCTCAGTGATACAGTTTTATAGATTATATAGATATATATGGTATGTGTGAGAAAATCCACAATATTGTTCTTTGGTACATTTGGAAGTTTTTGCATTTTATTTTTGCCTGCAACACACATGACTAGTTATGTAGAAGATTTTTTTAATCTTCTACTTTAGTATGAAACTTTATATATACTTTGTGTGTGTGTGTGTGTGTGTGTGTATCATATATAAAGTTTCATACCAAAGTAGAAGACTAATATATATAAGCTAGCTTGATTGTTGATGATTTAGCAAGTGGGACTTTTTGTTAGCAATGTCATATGCATGCACAAGTATTTGAGTCATTTGTTTAAATACAGTTCATCTCATGTACATGTTAAGTCATTGCTGTATCATTTTCCTTGTGTATAGAAGATAAGCTCAGGGAGGACAACTTTGTGAAGAGAAAATGAAATGAATGAATTACATCCTATTGTAAATTTTTCGCTGCCTTGAATTTAACTGGCTGATACAAGGTCATTGAATTACATATCATGTTTTGTATGTATAGATTCAATCATAAATTAATTCCATAGAGGTCTAGGAACTTACAGATTTTATCAGTGCCATGATCATGTTTCAGTTTTGAGTTGTAGTCTGAATTAATCTGTAAAGAAAGTTATATATTTGTTTCTCAGTTTATATTTATTGATTCATTTGAAACATTTATAAGATTGCTGTCTAGTATGAATACCCAAAGTAGTTAACAAAATAGAGTTGAGAATTTCTTCAGAACTGGTCAAGTAGTGCTTGTGTAATATTTGTGAATCACTTGATTTGCAAATGATTGTTCTTATAGTTACTAGGCAACTAGCAACCTGTGCTTTCAACTGCCTTCCTTTTTGCAATTCGAATATTTTTGCACAATAGATTTTTACCTGGATTTCCAGATGCAAGGCACCAGAGCTGAATAGCCATTGTATTCTTATTCTATGGAAGAATTCATTTCTGTAACGTTTGCTGCAGATACTTTCTTCCTCTTTTGTCTTATGGTTGCTTTGATTTGCTTTTCTATTGTCTCTGATTGTGGCAACTTGCTTTATTCAAATACTCTTTTCTTCTTTGCAGTGGTTGCAACTGGATTTGACTGTCCAATGATGGCTTCTTTCTCCTTTTGTTTCTACAGACATGCCTTGAGCTGGAACGCTACCTTCAGACAGAACCCAGGAAGAACTCAGAAAGCTTTGTGGAGGACCTGGACTGTTTTCTTCATGCTTCTTCTGCTCAAGGCACAGAAGACAGCATTCAGCCATTGGACCCACTCTTATTACCTGTAGATATGAATACCTGTGACAAAAATTCCAATATGGACATTATTCTCTCAAGGGACAAATTATTGTCTGAGACTTGTCTCAGCCTGCAACCTACCAGCTCCTCTACAGAGGGCTATCCTGCTGTTAACCAGGCCCAACTCAACGCAGTGACCTCACTAACACCTCCTTCCTCTCCTGAACTCAGTCGTCATCTTGGAAAAACTTCACAAACCATATCTGCAGTTGATGGCACAGTTACACTGAAATTAGTGACAAAGAAATCCACCCTCAGTTCAGTAAAGGTTGGTGTTATAGCACCAGCTAACACAACAAAGTGCGCGCTCAGTGACAGTGAACAAGGAGGGCCAGGGGCTGATACATCTTCGGAAAACAAGAAGAGGGTTCATCGTTGTCAGTTTAATGGGTGCCGTAAAGTATATACAAAGAGCTCACACTTAAAAGCGCACCAGAGGACTCACACAGGTACTTGTGTTAGATGCTTGGTTGTCTTTAACCAAACTTATGCCTTTTATTTATTATTTGTCTTGTGCAGAAATGAAGCTTTAGAGGGTAAGAGGCTTGATTTAAAAAGTTGGGTTGAAACATTGTGTTCCACATTATGTCAAGGAGTTTGAGAATTTGCAGAATGAAAATGCTAATCGTATGGCTCTATAATTCCTTTATTAATAACATTTTCTTAGAATTTCCCAGATTACTGAGAATACAAATAATCATACAGCATACTTCGTTTTTATTGTTCTATTATTTTACTTTGTTTAAACTTCCTTTTTATTTCTGCATTTTTTATGGTTATGAGCTGCTTAGAATAGCCCCATAATAAGATAGGAAGCAAATAAATTTAATAATAATAGTAATAATACTTGACATGGAAAATTTTCATTAGGGGGATTGTGTTTGGCTATTTGAGGAAGTTAAATTACATTCCTTGGGCATAGAAGACACCTCTAGTATAATTATCTCCTTTTATACAGATTAAGATTAATGCTGCTAGAGATCTTATCAATGAAGGATGATGGTCTTTATGTCACAACTGCTTTATAATTCTATAGGTTATTTTGTGGAATACAATTATATTTAGAAATGAAGACCAGATTTTTATTAGTTTTGTTGATTGCTATCCAGCCAACCTGTTCAAAGAATTATGGTTCACTGTAGATCAAGCCATATTCATGAGAGTCTGCTTAGGGCCTTGAAATGGGTCATAATTTTAGTACATAAGCATTTCAGTTCTCCCTATTTGTGCAAAAAAAATTCCCTCACCTATATTTATACTTATCCTAAAAGGTAAACTATTGCTGTTAATTTTACATAACTATTACTGATTTTACTATTACTGATTATTACTGATCATGACTTAGCACCTGATTATCTTAGGGTCAGCCTATTTCAGTGGTGGTATTCTACCAGTTCGGCCCAGTTCAGCCAAACCGGTAGCTCCGAGGATCATCTGTGAGCGAACCGGTTTACTCTGACAATCAGCTGCTAGGCCCTCCCACCCACCCCGGCTCTATACTGACCTTTATTTCCTGCTTTTCAACCTCAGCTGCTTTACGCGGCACAGCTGATTGCCGCACGTCAGCTGTTTTACACACAGAGCTTGCAGCAGAAGGTGAGTTGCAAACGGTGTGCATGTGTGCAAAGCACACACTCACACCAAACTGGTAGGAAAAATTTTTGAAACCCACCATTGGCCTATTTCCATTTTTTTCTGCCACCCAATCCCCTCAATTGAATATCATCTTGTGGGACCAAGAATTAATGCTGCTAGAGATCTTATCAATGAAGGATGATGGTCCATTGTCCATTGCAGCTCCTGCCCTCTTGAACAGTTCCCAAATGCTTATACTCCTAGGGTTCTGGAAGGCCATTTTAAATCCTGGCTGTGTTCCCAGCCCTAGAGTTAATATGTTTGTGGGAGCCCTGTCCCATTTTATTGTTATTGTTAGGGCTGTTTTTATTCTAGGCTGTCAGTTTCATTTTATTCCACTGACAGTCTACTTGAGTGGGTGGCCATAACAAATCTAAATAAATAAATAAATGTAATGAATATGTGTGAAACATATTCAACTTCAATCAGTTTTATTTAGAGACAGCTTTGTAGGATAAATCACTGTCCTTGCTATTTTCATATATCACAGAGAAAGAATGTTTTGATTAAAGTTACCTCAGCTGAACAGATTTTTGAAACTAGGTATTCTAGTCAAAACTGAGAGTTCTTTCCACTGTATTCCCTTTATATTATATGTGTATCACATTTGAACCAATTTATAATGTCCACATCAAACATGTAAAATCCTCAAGAAATCCTTGGTAAGCACAAAAGGGGCTGCTTGTTTGAGATACCTTCCTATATAGATATATCTAGAAATTTGGAATCTTTCTATATGTTTAACATGGTGATAGTTCTGTATTTTGAAAGAACAAAGTTTAATTAATTCTGGTTAACATCAGTGAACCAAAGTCAATTAACCATTCCCTCATTTACAATCTGAATTGGGTGCTCTTACTTTGATTGGATATATAGAACTAGGCAGTGAAATACTTCTCTGAAAAATTATCGTCTTGTAATTAGCTAATACCTATACCAAAACTCTTATGACTTATAACTGGATGAAACATTACATCACAGAGCAACAGTTTTAGAATAGAGGTATCTCAAATGGGCTAACTTACAAAATATATTCAAAATCCAGGAGCATGACTCCTGAGGGAATGAAATTTGGGGAAGTTATGGCTTCTTCAGTGCTACTGGGTACTGCTGGGCTGCTATTACAGTTATGTGATCTTCATTTTCAGTATTCTAGGAACAAAATATCTCTGAAACAATGGCCTAATGGAGCATGGGCTATGTAGTCTCTTCTTTTTTTTCAGCTTCTTGCTAGGATGATATGGCTTCCTGAATGCTATGCTATTTTTTGTTTCCATTAAAACTGCTGAGTCAGTTTCTCAATTTTGCCATCATATTTCTTTACTCAAAAATTATGAATTGGCAGGGTGTGCTTAGGAAACTGTCACAGAAGAATTCATTTTAAAAATAGATGGAACTAAAAATGGTTATGGGGTTATAGCCTATTTAAGAGAAGATTGTTTGGGGCCGGGATTGGTAAAATTTAGGGTTATGAACTTTTGATTGGCCTTCTCTTTCTCTATTTTCCTTACCTCTCAAGTTGCCTCTTTTCTACTCAGTTTTGTTTTCTCATCTTTCCTTTTCTACTCTTTTTCCATTTCTGATTATTCAGTGAATATACTTATTTGTGTCCAATCTTTTTTGCACAAAGGCATACACGCATGCACATACATCACATGGACACATTTTTGAGGTGGTGGGGCAGTTTTTGTGATTCCCCCATCTACTCTTCCTCTGAGAAGAAGGGTATTATCTTAAATTCAAAATTATTTTTCTTGCAGGTAAGTGGATGAATGAATGTGTTTTGCAATACTTAAACCCAATCTCCAAAGACACTTGGCGGCATACAATATCAAATAGAAACGAAACCAAATAGTAACAACAAACAACTAAATCAGAACAATATCAAAAACAAAAATATGACATGTCAGTTTAGACATCAAATTATACTGTAGTTTGCAAAAGTTGAAGTCATGGTTTCTTATTTTTGTTTGGCTAAACAGTTGGAAAGTGATTTATTTCAAAGATAATTGGAAGGATTACTGAATATATATAGTATAACATAGGAGTCACCAATTAAGCCTAACAAACCTTAGAATTGTAAAAAAATGTTTAAATTGCCCAAATTTCACAACTTTTTAAGATTTCTTATTCAATAATTATCCTGTGAATATTTTGTTTGTCTTTTTAAAAATGGTTACTTGTATCAGGTGGATATTAATAAATTAAATACATTTATTTCTTACATTTATTCGTAATGGATTTCAAGGGAGGATTCATCCCTAACCAATACTTTCATGTGATGCAGTTCTATAATTGGGGTACGTTTGGACTGAATTGCTCTAAAAATTGATTGAAGTATGAGGAATCTTAAAATGTTTCAATTTGGTGTCAGTATTGACTCTCTAATTGAAATCTAGTTCAGAGCAAATCTAGACTATCAATGATCAACTGACAATAGAATACTGGGCATAAATATCTACTTTGCTTTTTGCTAGGATCTTGTGACCAACATTTGGAACCAGAAATAGTTCTAAAAGGAAACTCATTGAGTCTTTTCACATAAAATTATGCTACCATTAGGATATACTTGGTGTCTCCAAATGAGCTGTTATTTCCTTTTGCAGTTAAACCTGATCACTGTTGGAGACTAGATACTGAGCTGGGTGGATTCAGATTATTACCCCAAACAGCTGCACTTATGTTTACATAGCTTGCTTCTTTCAGTTCATGCTGCCTTATCTCTCTAAACAACAATGTCGCTTTATTTATGCAAGCAGACATTTGAACTGGTTCCAAAACCCCAAAAGGAAAAATATTAAAGGGGTGGGATTTGGAAATTTTGGTGTGTATTGTAAGAATCCCAGGGCCAAGATTATAGGCATGAAGCAGTCATTTTGTTGGATCCTTTGTCTTTGAACACAGGCTTAGTTTCTTGGAACTGTCCCTGTAAGACACCATCAATTGTGAACAAGCTTCACAGTGCCAATGGCTACCAGCCATTTGGCTCTCTTGACTGCTGAGCTGGAGGTCTAAAAAGTTTTTGATATTTAGTTTTTCCTATTAGCTGCTTGTAGCTTGTAGCAAATGAAGAGCTAGATGCAGTAATTCAAATGTGAGATAACAAGGTAGCAAAACTCAATTAGATTTGACAAAAGCATCGGTTGAGCACTAGTAATACCAGAACTAGTCCTGTTTTGCCAACACTTATATTTCCCTACACAGCAATCTGTGGGGAAAGTGCTAGAAAAAAGTCTGTGGGAAAATCTCAGGGGAAAAGCCACAGAACTTCATAGGCAAAATTAAAAGAAGACACAATGATTTGGGAACCTGTGGAATGAAGTAAAAGGATGCATAGACTATTTGGGAGAAAGAGACATGCATGCTGAAGAGTACATGTTTTGCATGTAGAAAGTGGCAGCCTTAACCCAGAACACATCTCCATTTATAGTTGAGGAAGACTCCTCTCTGAAACTCATTTAGTGCACTTCTTTGTAGATGTATTCCAATAGCTTTCTATGATTAATGTGATTTTTGTCATATAAAAAACTGAAAGTTGTCTGTTAGAATGAACCCCTTGGTACAGAAAGGATTTTAAATCAGAAATAACAAGAAGCTTGTTTTCTTCCCCATAAGCTGAAATATTTTTAAAGAACTGGTGCTAATTGATGTTACACCAAAGTCCTACTGCTAAAAACAAATGTGTAAAAAGATAGAGTCAGATTTTGGCCTAAAGTAAAATGGAGAAGTCACTTGGTTTGTGGAAAGATATGTGTGAAAGAGAGCACTAGGAAAAGGTGAGATGTGCAGTTGGGAGAAAGATTACCTATTTCATAAGTTATGTGAAGAATCTATTGTAAAATATATACTTAATGATGTGAGAAAATAAACTCAGCCTTAACACATTTGTATGGCAAATATTTCTGAAGGGATGACACTTTCACTTCTGGAAAGGGAAACGGGATTTTTTTTCCCAGACCTATCTCAGCAAATGCCAATGAGTTAAGTGACAGAAGGAGATTTAATTTAGATTGAACAATGGGAGGAGGAAGTGTATATATTCATCATTATCCAAGATTGGAAGCAGATGCTTTAAAGAAAAAAAATATATTAGAAATTAAATCTGACTTTTCTGTGGAAGCATTAATTTGGCTCCAATCTTAATGTAATCATTAAGCAAAAACTTGTAAGGTGCAAAATTTCATCTTGCAGAATTTGATAGAAAAGAAATCCAGATTAGGGCGTAGGCTTCTCTTATTCAGAATCAGCAAGTTGTAGCAGGAAATTCAAGAGACTGATATAATAACTAAGATAAATTTTTTGACAGAAAATTAATCAGTGGAACGGGTTGCCTGCAGATGATGTGGGTGCTCCAACACTAGAGGTTTTTAAGAAGAGATTGGACAACCATTTGTCTGAAATGATACAGGGTTTCCTGCTTAAGGGGCAGGGGTTATTCTGTTATTCTATTAATAGAAATAGAACATCTGGAAGGAGTACTGGTCATTTCAGAGGAAAGATGGAGGATAGCGAAGAAAGCAGTGAGGACTCTCATGCAACTGTGGGAAATCCTACAGAATTTGGGTGATACCAGTAAATATGTGGAAATTCACAAAATAATAGGCTTAGGATCTCTAAGAAGTTAATGTTCTAAAGCTCTTCAACTGAAGATGTGAATGGAAGGAAATTGCATTAAGTGATAACATGTAGAGCTATTCCACAGTTTTAACTTGACTTTTTACTATCTAAATAAAAAGCATGTTTCTGAAGCACATTTTCTAATGTTAAGAGTAGTTCTCTTTCAGTTTTATTGACACAGAATAAAATGCCATTTTGCCTCATGAAAGAAGAAGGTATATTTTATTTCTTCTCAACTCTACTTACTAACAGCATTAATGAGGTGAAAAAAATCTAATTGACTACAATAGTATCAAAGTAAGAGTTCCAGTGTATCCGATCTAGTGCAGAATTATTCCCTGAAACCCATATTTTCCATTAAAGCTGTAAACTGTTGTTGCTGTTTTGAATGCTAAACAAACTAAGCATTGATACAAGATCTTTGCACTTTAAAGTGTATCTAAGTGATAATGAAGTACGATTGTTTTGATTGTATGTTAAAAAATAGTTTTGTGCTCATTGTGGAGCGGCGGTAATCACTGAGGCAGACTCGGAGCAAACATCAACTAACTTTATTACAAGAATAAAGGATTGCCGCGGCTGCCGTGCTAACAGGGCAGTCAGCTGGCGGCAACAGCTAATGCTGTTTGACAGCTTTTTATAGCCGGCTGTCAAACGGCATCAACCAATAGGAGCATTCTGCGTTCCTGCTAGAAGCGCGGACCGGAGTGAAGACTACAGGTTAGTCCAATGGACGCAACACTCCTTTCCCTTAGCACGGAGCATGCGTAGTCTCTAAGGTAGGCCGGGCGCCTGGGCAGACGGCCGGATCGTCTCAGTTCTGGTGGAGCCGCTGCGGGAAAGAAGTCCTCCGCTTGCTGTGCTGTTTCAGGATCCGAAGGGACTGGAGTCTCGGCTTTGGGCGACCCTGGGCGAGGAACCGGCGGTAGTCCAGGTAGGCTTACTCGCTTGTAATGTCTCGGGGAAGTCTCTGCGTGTGTCGGCTGGTCCGTTTCGCTTGGCATGCAACGAGGGTCATCAGTAGCCACGCTCCAGCACCTTCTTAGTTGGTCGATGTGCCTGCGCCAGGTGCGACCGTCTTGCAGCAAGACCCTGTAAGACTTAGGACCTGTTACTGCCACAATTTGCCCTGGCACCCATAAGGGATGACCTGCATAGTTACGGGCATAGACCTGGTCATGTTGAGCGAACTCTCTTGCCTGGCTATCTGATACCAGGGGGGTGACTGGGACATAATGAGGATGGAGCCTGTCTAGGGTGGTTCTCAGGTGTCTGCCCATGAGGAGCTCCACTGGAGACTTGTTAGTAGTGGCACAGGGGGTTGTGTGTTGGGTTAAAAGGTACCTAGAAAGCTTAGAGTGCCAGTCTATCGGGCCAAACCTTTCCAGGGCCTCCTTAACTGACCTGACTGCCCTTTCAGCCATGCCATTACTAGCAGGATGAAAAGGAGCTGTGAGGGCATGCCTGATCCCAAGGTTGGCTAAGAAAACCTCAAACTCACAGGAAGTAAACTGGGGGCCGTTATCAGACACAATGGTGTCAGGGAGGCCATGGGTAACGAATACCCTAGTTAGAGCCTTTGTAACAGCCTGTGAAGTTGTGGTGGTCAGTAAGGCCATGTCTATCCATTTTGAGAAGGAATCTACCATTACCAGGAATGTTCGCCCATGAACAGGGCCAGCTAGATCAATATGCAACCGGGACCAAGGGGTCCCAGAGTCTTCCCACCTGCCTGGAGTAGATGTGGGTGGAGCAGGCCTGGTAGCCTGGCATGGCTGACAAGCGTTCACCCAACTAGTGATCTGAGCATCCATGCCTGGCCACCATACATAACTGCGAGCCAGAGCCTTCATCCTGACAATGCCAGGATGGCCTTCGTGCAGGACTTTTAAAATTGAGCCCTGCAGCTTGGAAGGGATAACTACCCTCATTCCCCACAGTAAACAGCCTTGCAAAGACAATAGTTCTTGCTGGCGAATCTTGAAGGGCAGGAATTCGGGGGCATATGGAATTGCTGGCCACCCCCTTCCCACCCAGTCCAGAACTTGGGTGATTACTTTGTCCCGTGAGGAGTGGGCAGCGATGTCAAGGGCAGTGATGGGAAGATTGAGATCGTTGATCTCGAAAATAGCATTAATTGGTACAGGATCTTCCACAGGAACATGCAGAGGGCAGCGACTGAGAGCGTCAGCGTGGCATAGGGTTTTGCCAGGACGATGAACCAGCGTATAGGAATAGGTAGCCAGAAATAAAGTCCACCTGGTCATCCTTGGAGACAAAATCTGAGGGATTTGTTTTTCACCAGACAAAAGGCCTAACAGAGGCTTGTGATCCGTGATCAATTCGAAATGGTGTCCATATAGGAACTCATGGAATTTTTTGACAGAAGCAACTGCAGCCAAAGCCTCCTTGTCAATTTGGCTTTAATTGCGCTCGGCTGAGGAAAAGGTCCTGGAGAAAAAGGCAATTGGTGCCTCAGAACCATTTGGCAATCTATGACTTAAAACAGCCCCTATGCCAAAAGGAGAAGCGTCTGCAGCTAGAACTAAAGGCAGCTGTTGATTGAATTGTATTAGTACTGAGGTGGTTTCCCCCACAGCTTAGGCAAATGGGCTGATGCCGGGGAGGTAGAATGGGGTTTGGCCTGATTTCCTCTTGAATGGGTTTCTGCTGCCTGAGGCGATTTACATTGTTAGCCCCATCAGAGCCTTCTTCTAAAGATGCTTCATCATAATGGATGGCTGAGCTACTCTTGCTAATTGGATTCCCCTGAATTTCTGCTGCTGAAAGTGCAGATAGTTCAGCAGCTTGGGACTCTTCAATAGCTACTGCCAGGGTTAAGTCTCGTTTAGCCAATAGACGCCTTTGTAGCCTTAAATCCCTGACTCCACAGACTATTTGGTCTAATAGCATGTCCTCAAGATAGTCTCTAAACCCACAATGCAAAGCGGCTGTCCATAGGGCAGCCATGTATTCACTAATGGTTTCTCCCTCAGCTTGAATTCGTCTCCTGAAAGCATGTCTTCTGGCAATTTGGGATGGCTTAGGGGAATAGTGATTGGAAAGAATTTCCTGCAATTCTTCCCAAGGAACAGCCCTGACAGAACATGGAGCTACCAATGCCGTGGCAGTGTCAAGTACTGCGGCTCCGCAAAAACTTAAAAAGTAGGACTTTTTCCTATGGGCTGTAGTGTCAGCAAGGTCTATAGCATCTAGAAAGCAGTCAAATCGGCTTCTGTAGGACTCCCTGTCTCAGCCGTCAGTCTGAAAGGCGGGAACGCAGGGTTCGAAGTCATCTTGCTTCGGCGGTGCCGTCTTTCCCGCAGGGAAATTGAATTTCGCGCTCGCGAATAGTGTCAACAGCTATGACAGTCAGCTCTTAGTGACTTCGGCTCTTTTTGTAGTGACTGAGCTCAGCGATTCTTTGTCCGGCTGCCTCTTATTTGTTCCCCCGCCCTCGTCGCCAGTGTTGTGGAGCAGCGGTAATCACTGAGGCAGACTCGGAGCGAACATCAACTGTAACTTTATTACAAGAATAAAGGGTTGCCGTGGCTGCCGTGCTAACAGGGCAGTCAGCTGGCGGCAACAGCTGATGCCGTTTGACAGCTCCTTTTATAGCCGGCTGTCAAACGGCATCAACCAATAGGAGCGGTCTGCATTCCCGCTAGAAGCGCGGACCGGAGTGAAGACTGCGGGTTAGTCCAATGGACGCAACAGTGCTAGTACATAAAATATGTTTCAATGTTTCAATGCCAAGACCATATTATCTGTCCCCTTACCATGTGGGAATGTTATGCATTGGTTTCAGTCATATGAATGCTACTGTACCACTGTTGAAGTAAACAGTGTTAGACAAGGTGGAACATAATCTCATCAAGAATAATTATATCAGGCAAATAAACAAGAATTTTGATTTAAAGCATTCATGCAACTGAAATCAATCCGTGGCAAGTGGCAGTCTGTGTTAAGAATATTACCATTTCCATCAAGAGGCTCAAGGATGAACCATCTAATGCATGCCATGCATGTCCAACATTTCGGTTTGCCTGGGCTGCATTGAGTGAAGAGGAATTGTCTTGGTCCACCTATAAAATATATAAAACAACATATATAAATCACGCAATAATGTTAAAAGATGATGATCTTATGCTACTGCACGGACATGCCCAATCTAAGGCATGGATAAGATACGTATGAATATCACCTTCTATTGTAAGAACATACTGTAGAGCCAGGTTTTCCATGCTGCTGATACTTTCAATTTAGTTAGTTAGGGGGGGGGTTGTTGTTTTGTTATCCAGAGAAATATTAATATGGCTTTAGTTTTGATGTGCAAGAATGGATTATAGCATCTTTTTTAGATGCAAATGCACAAAATGTTGATGTTTTATTTTATGCCTAGCAGTTAGAATTAGAAAAATAACCCTTTCTACATACACAAATGAAATGCAACAATTTTCCTGTAATCTAAGAAAATCTTATTGAACTCAAATTGTGGTATTCTCATACTCCTCAGTGGATTTTGCGGTTGTTATCATGTGATATATATGACGTTTTTAATGATAAGTGAACTGGAAACTAAATACTGTACAGATTTTTAAAAGTTTCCTGATCTCTCCTGGGGAAAAAATAGGAGTCATTGAGTCAAAAGGGGGACGAGTAATGGTTTGAATGCTGGTGGGGGAGGAATGTGAAGAGAGTGAGTGTGGCAGGCAGACTTGTGTATCCTGTTGCTAGGATACATCAGCATTATATACAGTGTGCTAATTGGCTAGCTTGTCAGTGCCTGGGTACCAGCCCAGGCCTGCTACACAGCTGTTTCTGCCGCCTCGTTGCTAAGCAACTACATCCTCTACCCCCTCTTTCCCTCCCTCCCTTTGCTTCTGGCACCTAATTGTCTACTTTTGCTGCTGGTGTTGCTGCTGGGTACCAGTCTGGGCCTGCCGCTCTGCTGTTCTCCCTAGGGGTCGGAGATGGAAGTGGGGGTTGGTATCAGCAATTAATGGAGCAGAAGTGCACATTCTACAGAAGGCTGGCACCTGTGTCCCCTAATCTCTCCCCACCCTCAAAAATCCTTCTGTTCTGAGCATACATCAGGTACCTCCAGCTTCAGTTTTTGCTAAGCCCATAAGGATATTTTTTTAAAAAATATATTGAAATTGAGAAACCTTTGTTCCTTTAAATGAGGACTTGCAGGGACAATTGAAGGATAATATCCCTTTTCTCAGGACACTTTTTTTCATTTGTCTTCATGTTGTTATTCATTGCTTTCTGCATGCCTGCAGGAATGGGAGAGAGAGAAATGTTTTAAAATACAGCTCCGTGAAAAACTACTGAAAGTACAACTAATTGGACTATTAAGAAGGCTCAGAAAGAAAAACACAAGGTGCAAGCGCAGATGAAAAGCAAACCAAGGTCATCTTGACAATGCTTTTCCTCAGGATGTATATTCCTACATTGTTCCTCATATTGTCAATATTCAAAATAGTGAAGAGTATCATAATAGTTGTGAGATGTGACCATTACATTAATGGCAGTTCAAGCCATGAGAATTTCCCATTGCAATCAGACATTCTGCCAGTACTGTTGAAGTGCTATTCTGATTAGGTAGCAGTGGAGGATATTGTTATTGTAAGTCATCAGATTTGTTTTTAAAAACTAATTTGTCGGTCATCCCAAATAGAAAAATGGAAAGAGATATATCTTTTGACTTGAACAACTAAATGTGCACTCAAACTCCAGTGACACTACATTTGAAGTAGCATAATAGAAAAAAATCTGTCTGACTTTTAATTGCTTGTTTACAACATGCAAATTAGAGCTTGAGGCTGGGTGAAGATTGACATATGTATTGAAGTCAGTCATCTCCTTTTGTAGATCCTGCTTGCGTGCTCCTCAAAAGCTTTCGAAGGACAAAAGAAACTGCTTTAAATTTATTTTACATTTGAGTGTCAGATGCTGAATTATTTTCTTATTCAGGTGTCTATGACAATGATTGTATTTTTTTTTTTTTTTTTGGCTTAGAACAAAAATATAAAAGACAATAGAAAAAAAAAGTAAATGAATTCTGTTTTTGTATCAATAAAGAACAATTCTTTTTTTAAAATAGTAAACTGTTTCAAGCAATATTCTCTTGCAGTAGAAAATAAGAGTTGTGCAATAAATCATTACTTTGCATCTGTTATTTTATTAAGAGATCCCAGGATTTTTTAAAAATTGAAATGAATTGAAGGCATATCTAGAAATGAAAGGATCTTAAAAGAAAACTGAAATAGATTTTTAAAATTAATTTCTGTATAATTGGTTCAATAATCATATTTTCCCATTCTGAGGTTCTGTTTTTGATTTTTTAAGTATAGGATGTATTCATCTGTTGTGCCTTTCCTCTCTCTCGCTACATCCAAGTTACTGTCCCTTTGCAGGAATCAATAGGTGTGCAGAGTATAAGTTGGACTTACATAGAGATAGTCCTCGACTTACAATCTTTTGTTTAGTGTCCATTAGAAGTTACAATGAAAAAAGTGACTTATGACCACTTTTCACACTTACAACTCTTGCAGCATCCCCGTGGTCATGTGATCAACTTTTGTGACCTTCTGACAAAGTCAATGGGGAAGCCAGAGTCACTGAACAATCGTGTTAATAGTTTAACAACTGCAGTGATTCATTTAACAACTGTGGCAAGAAAGGTCATAAAATGGGGCAAAACTCACTGAACAATTGTCAATGGAAATGTTGGGCTCACCTGTATTATGTAGGATGGAATTAATGGTGGATGTCCCTTGCAAAACTTCTTGAGGTGTCAATGTCACAAGCACTCCTCCAATTGAAAGCATTCATAAATTATAAACAATATTGTTTATGCAACTTGATTTTGCAGGTAGCTTACTAATTTTGTAGTATGAGCTAGTAAACTTTGCAACAACCTGCTACAGTCTTAGAAAAATAGATGTGCAAAGAAACAAGATAAATAGAAAATGTTCCATTCCATTTCCACAAGAGATCCTGCAACCATCAAACTTAGTTTTGCCTGAAAGCAACCACCACTTTCCGAATGCACTGCTTTCAATGGTAGCAACCTTTCCTTTCCTTTTCCTTGTTTGTGTTTTATCACTACTGTTAGCTTCCCAGAGTAAAGAAATCTATATGGTTTACCTAACTTTTAAAAATATAAATAAATCCCATGACTATATAAAAGTAATTTATTAAAGCAATTTTAGGAACTATTTCTGATTTGCTCCTTCTTGCTTCTTCCCTGTCAAACATGGCCTAACAATGTGAAATGTCTGTCTGTCTGTGTCTCTCTTTCTCTCTGTGTGTGTGTCTGTCTGTGTCTGTCTATTATCATCATCTACCTACCTACCTACCTGCCTAGTATCATCTATTACCTATCACTTCTGTATAGCCATCCAGCCGCTACGATTCTGGCCAGTATATATAATAAACAGAATACACACCACAAATTAAATTAAAAGAAAAACAAAAACAACAAAATGGTGGCAAAGCATATAGAGAGAGTATCAGTTCGCCATCTAATCTAATGGGCTCTGCTTTATCCTAGGATCCCCAAGTTCACTAGTAAAACCGTGTTTTGGGGGCCTTCTGAAAGGCCAACAGACTTGGGCCCTCTTACCTCAGGAGGAGTGATGTTCTGCAGAGTGGGGCTAGAGCAGAAAAGGCTTCCTTTCCACCTGATGAAACTCTAGCTGTTGGGATCTAGAGCATGCCTCTCCTTCTGAATTTGATGGGATTAGATGTAGCTGGGGAGTGGTGGTCCCTCAAATAACCTGGCCCTGTACCATGTAGGACTTTAAACATCATAATCTTGAAGTGGACCTGGAAGCATACTGGTAACCAATGCAGTTTGCAATGTGTGCAGCTTTTGGAGCATACATGCTGCTGCATTTTGGATTAGCTGAAGCTTCTGTATACTCTTCATGGGCAGTCCAATGTACACAGCACATGAAGAAATCCATCCAGGAAGTGACTAGACATGAGCAACAGAATAGAATGGGCACAACTAATACACAACATGCAAAAGGTCCTTATGGCTACAACTGCCACTTGCTCTTCAAGCAGGGATCATGATTCCACAAGAACTCCCACCCCGCCCCAGATTGTGCATTGGGTCTGTTTGGGGCAGGATGACCCAATCCAGCCCCAGATGCTAAAGCCCCAGATTCAGAAGGCCCTAAAGCCCAAAGACTCGCAGTCTTTCCATGTTTAGTTGAAGCTTGATATTTTTAATCAATTTTACTTATTTATTAAATTTTTATGCCATCCATCTCATCCAGACCCCCACAGCCTTTAAGCACTGGGGGAAAAAAAACATCCACAGCATCAGTAAACTCATCAGGAGGAGAGATACAACTGGATATCATCAGCATACTGTTGATATCTCATCCCATGGGGATGAATGATGTCACCCAGTGGCTTCATGTAGTAGATATTAAACAGGTATTTATGCTGATGAAGGGGGGAAATGTATTTATTTTAAATCAGATGGCATTCTATAAGGATGGAGATATTACTAATAGGAATAATACACTGTATAGAATATCAATCCTTCTCAATATTCCCCATATTTAGGCTTATATCTGGATTCTTTTCTCCTCTTTCCTCTTCCTTGGAATGACTTGCACCCATTATAGTAGTTCTTCCAAACTGATGCCCTCTGTAACTGAATTACAATTTCATAACATCCAGTTGGCATGGCCATGAAGCTAAAGAGTTAGTAGGAATGGAATCATTTTAATATACCAAAGAAAGATAATGCATTATTTATTAGATTTCTTTTATCCTGCCTTTATTTCATAAATAACTCAAGGCAATGAACATAATATTCCCTCCTCCTCCCATTTCCTCACAGCAACAATCCTATGAGATGAGTTGGCCCAAAGTCACTTAGCTGGCTTTCATGCCTAAGGTGGGACTGGAACTCACCACCAGTAGCACTTTAACTACTACACCAAATTGCTCTCAATAATGCTCTAAATACTCACCTTCCCCTTTCTTTTGAAATATTCTATCTCTTCGTTTTGTTTTGGTATCATGACAGCTCTGATAGGGGTAAATTAGCCTTTGCTGAAATCTGTGGGTCAAGGATTTTTTAAATGCCTTTTAAAGGACAGGTTTTCCTCTGTTTTTACATTTTTGTCTCTTTACAATATCCTGTAAGCAAGCCTGCAGAGTCTGGAACACACACGTTTTCTGACATTTGGCAACTAGCAGCTCATGTTAACAACAACAACAAAAAAGGACTGAACAGGAACCTAGTGTCTATGCTTGGCAAAGTCATTTTGCCCCTGGAGCTCAGATATCATCGATGTTAAAGCTATACCAGAAACTGAGAAAAGAAAATGTGTTTATGGTTGGTTACCATGTAGCATATCAAATCAAGGGTGATACCCTATTTCCCTGAAAATACGACCTACCCTGAAAGTAAGTCCTAGCTTGATTTTTACTCATGAATCCAATATAAGCCTCAGTGGCGCAGTGGTTAGAGTGCAGTACTGCAAACTACTTCTGCTGACATCCAGCTGCCTGCAATTTGACAGATCGAATCTCACCAGGCTCAAGATTGACTCAGCCTTTCATCCTTCTGAGGTGGGTAAAATGAGGAGCCAAATTGTTGGGAGCAAAATGCTGACTCTGTAAACTGCCCAGAGAGAGCTGTAAAGCACTATAAAGCGGTATATAAGTCTAAGTGCTATTGCTATAAGCCCTACCCCCAAAATAAGCCCTAATTAAGATCCCACCCACTTTAGAGTGCATGGGTAAAAATTAAGCTAGGGTGGGGATGGGGGGTGAAGCAGTCCTACTACTTACCTTTGGACAGTTGTTGCCAGGCCTCGCACACCCTTACACCTGCCTTGCCGGCCCATTTCTTCTGCAGCCAGCAAGGCTTTCCTAAAGACCTCTGTATAGCTGATAACAGAGCTCCAGATTGATCTGTTATCAGTTGCAGAGGCCTTCAGGAAAGCCTTGCCGGTTGCAGAAGGCCTCTGACGGTGAAAAGGAGGCCGGGGCAACACACACAAGTGAGGTTAGTCAGTGGATGACATCCCCCGAAAATAAGTCCTGGTGCCTTTTTTGGTGGCAAAATAAATAAAATAAAAATAAGACGGTCTTATTTACAGGGAAACAGTATTTATTTATTTTTGTTAGCAAAATTGAAAATTTTCTAATTAGTACATTCAAGTTATTGAGTTTATTGGCTAGATTTTAACTTGAATTGGGCATCAAGGGAATGTATTACTATCATGACAACCAGAATGCAAAATTTCCCTATCTCTTACCTACAGTGTTAAAAACTCTGTAGGGAACAAAGAATTTTCTCTCACAGAAGATCTACAGCTGCAGGGCTGTGAGGTGGGGAGAGCATTTCTCACCATAATCAATGGTTGCTGGAAACTGTAATTGAGCAACAGCTAGAGGGGGTTGGTTTTTTCACTTTTGGACTAGAATTAGTAAGAACATTATCATAAAAAATTCAGTTTACAGTGAACTTACTTGTGTCTCAGGAAACAGGTTTGGCCTAGTTATATTCAAATCAAATGTGGGGTACGTATGAAGATGTAATTCAAAGGGACAAAATAGTGCAGGAGGAATGCTGACCTCTTTTCAACAAACCCTTATCCAATAATGTATCTGCTTAGATAATAACTACATGCTGTGTTTAGGTTAGCACTGAGCACTAAATCATCTGCTTTTTGAATATTGCTTTTTGTGTCTATCAATATGAGCACATTTACATATTTAATCATTTATCTAGACGGCAAGCTCAGTCCTGTCCTAGCATCCATCCTTCTAAGGGCAGTCTCTTCTCCTCCTAAAATTCAGCTGAATTTTATATAACAACTGGTTTCTACATTTGTTTCCTATAAAAAACAACCATGTACATTATAAATAACTTTATACACTAGAGCTACCCTGTCATATACGTTTTTACATAACTATCCAAGGAAGAAAGGAGGGGGAGGAGAATCAGAATGAGTTGAAGCATGTTTTGCTTATGTTTTCTTTGAGAGTGCTTATGGCATTAAAAGCCCTTTGTCTATCAGTCAAAACTGTAACAACCAGCTGCATTCTTCAAATGGACATTCTTTATATTCTTTTGTCATGGGAAGGACATGTAGTGAAATCATATCTTCATTGTCAAGTTTTTCTTTAAAAAACTTTCTATAATATGTCTTTCACCAGGACTGTTCAGTGATAACACTGGGTCCTGCTGAAATTTCTCATAACTCTAAAGCTAATGCTGCATTATTTTCAGCATTCAAGAAACAGCCAAATTTGTCAGTGCTTTCCTCTCAGTCTTTCATTCGGTTGAACCTGGCAGATCACCTGATATTGCATCTTCCATCTTGTGTGTCTGAAAGATTTCTGCTTCCATTGCAAGCCCTGCAATACCCAATGGTCAGATTCTAGGGGGAGTGGGGAGAAACCAATACAATATTGACGTCTACTCAACCTCCCTTGAGTGTTTCCTTTATATCAAAGATTCATTTGTTCTACCAATCCTGATATTGTTGCTTCTGCTTCTCTTGCTAACTTCTTAACCGTAACTTTTGAGGTCTGTTCCCAGAGGGGTACTCAGTGGTCTCTGTCTCAAAAGCAAAGATGATGGGACCAAGCTCAATCCCAAACTAATCCTACTTGTACCTTTGCTCTTCCATTCTTTGATGAGCATGTGGAGATTGTGATCATAGCACCAGTCTTCCATACTTTAAAACAACTGTCTGCTTTTACAGAATCTTATGTGCTCCACATTTTAGAGATCAAATCTGATGTTCTGTCCAGGTGTATCCTGATATATTTCCACTGCAGCGGCAACTATTTATAGCCCAGTACAAACTTCAGATCTGGGCATGGTTCCCATGCAGCATTTGGATCACTTTTTAGATGGAGATTCCTATAAATTCTGATTCTTCATCAGAATAATCAACACTCTCATTTGCTGATCTGAGTTGAGAGGTTTTCTCTTTCAGAAAAAAATTAAACCTATAACAAGGCAGTCTTACCTACAGCATGTTCCCTCATATTAGAAGTAAACCAACCTGTCTTTTACTGTGTTATCCTGTTTTATGCCTGTACCTGTTCAGGAATCTGCACTTCCAGCTCTATTTCCAGAGGGTTGGGGACTCTTGAATGAAACCATTTTTATACAACATTATAGCATTTTGATAATTTATATAGAGTCCAAGACAAATGTTGTTCCTTCTTGTTTCGACATCCATCCCTGCCTCCCAGTTTGTAAATGCAACACAATGCGGCATAAGCTTAATTCTCCTGGAGACTTGGACTAGGGTAGCCAATTACCAGCCCTGTCTGACTAATATCAGCAATTTCTTATGGGTGAAAGCTTTGCCCCATTTCAGCAATCTGACAGATGACAAGTAAGAGGTCATCAATGTGTTTTGTAATGAGGCCATTCATATTGCTAAGCAGCAAATTAATACAGTCAAGCATGCGGGTGTCAGTGCTTCTAAATTCATGGCAGAATCTGTCAGTCAATAAACATTATGCTTCTAAATTCATGGCAGAATCTGTCAGTCAATAAACATTATGCAAAAGTGTGAACGATATCTGCCATTTAAAAAAAAGGGTTATTTAACTCTAATCCCAGGTACTATCCTGGAACAGAGATTTGTATATAGTTCTATGCCATATTGACTTTTGGAATTGTTGTATATCTTGCAAGTGTTCCTCATATCAACCCACCTGAAAAGTTGGAACAATATTTTGTCAGGTGTTTTTTAAGCCACATTTTTTGGCAGAATGAGACTGGGTGCTTCACTACATTTATTTTCTCATTTTGCAATTGCCATATTTGTCTTGTTTTCTTTTTCCACTTGTCCACCAGATTGGATCTTTCTCCTGTTCCCCACCCCTCTACACACACACAAACACCTATTAATATTGCTGATAATAAGTAAAACATAGTGCTGGAGAAATACAATGGACTAATATGAGATGTTAGTCCATTGTATTTCTCCAACCCTATTTTTAAGTAGGTTTTGAAAGGAAATTTCTTTCTTCCCAAGTAATTAGCTACTTCAACATGGAGTTTGTCACTAGTTATTAATATCTAAGCCCTTGAGTCCTATAGTTCTTTCTCCTCTCTACTGACTTGAAAAACATTTCCTGTTGCCAATGTCAGCACATCAGTCCATGGAATATGCAACTTTCATTTGGATGTTTTCATTCAGATATTTGATGTTTCACAAGGATAGGGTGGTTTTATAAATGAGTATTTCATTCTGCTCCAAGATTGCACATATTGCACAGAGTTTCTTCTGCAGCAAGAGTTTTTGTTACCTGTAGATTTTCCAGACCTGACTTTGCTGGTGACATGCTCTCTCATTATGATCGATATTCATTGATATTCACTTGCAAAGGAGTCCTTGGTTCTCTCCTAGTACTTTCCACCATTAAGCAACATTGCCTGTTAATTTCTCATAAGCCTGAATAAGAAACACCACAGTGCAAAAAAGGCACCCCTCCCCCCCAACTGGTTTTTTGAGTAGTCATTTCTGACTACCCAATTCAGGAATCTTCCCTGTTTGGACTGGACATACTTCAGTACCAGGACAGAAATTGCAGTCATTTCAGTTGCTAGGTTGGAATGCTGCATGGCAGGTGAGACTCCTTTCCAGAATCTTTGCTGTGGAACATTTCAAATAGGCAGCTGTGTAAGTGCAGAAGCCCTATGTGGAATTCACAATGGCATGTAAAAAAATTATGCAGGAAGAAATTACTACAAATCTCACGTTTGGGGAACTAAAGCAAGAAGGTGCTGCCTTTTTATTGTGGTGCAACATTGTGGAAGAACGTCCCTATGGATTAGGCAGGCTCCCTCTCTGTGTGTTTTTTGCAAGCTCTTTGAGACTGGAAAGCCCCCTTGATTTGAATTGTGATTGCCTTCTTTTTATTCTGTCTTGTTGTAATGCTGTTTTGTTTTATTTTTGTAGAGGGTGCTTTATATTGCATTTTTGTACTGTATCTGAACTGCCAAGAATGTTGATGTTGATTGTGGTGGCATTAAAATGAGTATATTGCATAGTTGCATTAAATTAGACCATTGGCTGATCAAACACACAGTGAATTGGGAAAAATATGAAGGAGTGGGATTAAATAAAATTCTCTCTACAATTACTTTTGGTTTCCTAAACACAGAATTATAGGATTCTGTGAATTATGTCATCTAATGAAGGCGGATATAGTGGGATAATGAATGGAGGAACAAAACAGTGTAAATAAGGTACAGATAAACAATAAGTAGGTAAGAGCATTTGGGAATGAGCAGATTGTTTTATGACTGATCCATGCCATTTTTATCCACTGGAAAGTACCATTAAAATATAAGCATTGGTCCAAAATACATGGATCACAAACAGGACTCAGCAGCCCCACCAATATGGCACACTCAGATACTTTCTAAAAGAAGAAATAGAAATATAAAGAGACAAAGCAAAATAAAGTTTGCAAAGAATGATGTACTTCAAGGATGTCCCTAGATAAAAGATATCCAGCTCACCATGGGGGAAAGCCTTTCAGAACTCTTAGCAACTTTTGCACCAGTGGCAGTGTTTCATACTCATTTGATTATTAGCTTAGAGATTATTTTTTACTGTTAATCCATTTTATTGAGCGTGTTCCACTTTGAGATCTGTTGATCTACAGTAGCTTAGAAATACTTTATCAATAAACAAATTCCTTTGTGCCCTCCTGTAACTTTTTAACTTCTTGAAGTCATGTAGTTAAAATGCATTGTGTGGCCTTGTTGATTATGCAGTACTCCACTCACTGAATGAAGAAACATGTAAATGAGCAGAAAGATATTTTCAGACATTATCCAACTGTATTCAGCACTCTGGCTGCATCATTTTTGGACCAAACATTTTAGGCGGTTTATATAGGGCAGCTGTATATATAGCATGTAGCATTAATCTAAAGAAAAGTTTATCAGGACATGGATTACTGCAATGGGATTATTCACACAGAGCAAATGTGTATTATTCTACATAGGATGTGTATATCTAATAATAAAAATAGAATTAGAAGCTACAAACTTGATCTTCCCAAAATGAGAATACAATAGTAGCACTTCTGTCTTGCCTAAACTGAGCTTCAGTTTCTTGGCTTTTATCCAAATGCTCAGTGCAGTCAGGTACTGGTTCAGCACTTCCACCTCCTTACCTGGAATTCCTGAGAAAAGAGTAAGAACACCTGCATGCAGATGACACATTACTCCACATCTCCAAATGATCTCACCCCTTTGTTCCCTGTGAGTGTTCTATAACATGGGAATATGGGAACCATTTTAATAGATTTAAAAAATATCTGAAAAAATAATCTATTTTAATCTATTAAAAATTTGTTCAGAACTTATAAAAGAGTGGGAATCTATGTACAAAGTCACTGACTGGATCAGTTTCATTAAAAGTCCCTACCTTGTGCTGACTGCTTGCTTATGCTTAAAAGGCCAGTAAAAGGATCACAGTTTCCAGTAAAGTAAAGAGTGCCTTTGGGGCATTGCACAAACTTATATTTCAACCATTATTTGAATATTTACCAATTCTCATGGATTAATATTATTTCTTCTATGGTAAATCATTTGTTCAGAACTGTGCAGAAACAGCAAAGGAAAAAAAAGCTTAGAAGATTTCTGAGTACTGTTGTTGATCTGTCCAAATCAGAAGTCTAATAAGCTAAATGCCATGGAAAATATGTGTACATACATATGTTTACTGACTTTGCATTATGAGTCCATTGGAGTTGGATAGTCAATAAATTTAAACAATGAAAATAATAATGATAATCACGATGACAATAACAACAATAATATATTACTTATAGAGGCCTTAGGAATGGACAAGGAAGAATGCCAAAACACATTTGACTTTCAAAATCCTTTCTTAGAACTTCACTGCTGCATGAGGTGTTACCAATTCTCCAGTCCCAAAAATTATAATTTACAAAATGTTGTGTGCAAGGACTTCTACAGTACATATGTAAACACAAATATAGGATGGCCATGACAATGAGAATTAAGTGCTCTGAATACCTGGTTTAGAATATAGCATTGCAAGTTCAGTTTACCTTTGCACAGAAAGTGATTATAATCATTTGCAGGTTCATGACAGAATAATGTCAGCTGTTCTTGAATAATGTCAGCTGTTCAGACAGTAGCCATTACATCCTGCCAGTGCTTTCAATGGCTTATGGAATTTTAGTATGAATGGGAAATGTGCCTTTTGCAAATTTTGCTTTCAACATTAACCTTCTGTAATCTCCTCTGCAGGTGAGAAGCCTTACAAGTGTTCCTGGGAAGGGTGTGAGTGGCGTTTTGCACGAAGTGATGAACTCACACGGCATTACAGGAAGCACACGGGAGCAAAGCCCTTTAAGTGCAGCCATTGTGACAGGTAATAGTTACTATTTTCTCTCACATTTTATCCCACTTCTTAATTCAAGAAGTGCTATCAAAGCAATTAAGATATTATGATGATGATTGGTCCCACAGTCAGCCAGACGATTAGGTTGGATTTGGCATTTTTACCCAATTATCGAGTTCTTTCCAAAGACCTATATGCAGATGTTGTTTGACAGTGTTAAAAAGATATTGAGGCAAGATATAAGCTGATCCAAGTAAAGCTGTCTTTTGCAATTCACCGTGAATTTGTCAATCCTGATAGTATTCAAGTAGTGCTCCAGATGTTTTGGGATTGCACCCAAGGTATCTTTTACCATTAGTACTATTTTCATATCTTTGGTTTCTTTTGCCACAGTTATTATACTTCTAAATTACAGGTCTTTGTATTTTGTTATTTTCTCCAGTTATTTCTCTTTTATTGTGCTGTCTCTGTCTTTTGATATCATTATTATTATTTAAATACAGCACCTGCCTTATTTTTGTGAAAACATATTGACTTTTTATTTCAAATGTACAGTTAGTTTGTCCTTTTATGCACTTCTCTGCACAGATTCTAAAGAAAAGATAATATATGCTGCAACTCCTGGATTCACAGCTATTGCTCAAAGAGCAGGTGACAGCTATGCCCAGATTCATCTGGGGCACCAGTTGCACCCTTTCTTCCTTTGGGTGGTCTCCTTCAGTCTGTAACTCATACTCTGATCACCTCACAACTGGTTATTGCAATATACCATACATGGAGCTGCTTTTGAAGACCAGCTGGTAGCTATAGTTGTTTTAAAATGCAGTAGCGTAAACAGTAATAGGCATCTGTCAACATGCCAATGGATCACCAATGCTGTACAAGCTGTATTGGTTGTCATTCAGCTTCCAGATGTAATTCAGGGTGCTGTTTATTTCCTGCAAAGCATTGTATGGCAAAGGGCCTGGATACCTGAAGGCCAGATTATCTCCTATCCTTTCTGTCTGTCTAGTTACATTTGGGCAGAGTGGGTGAGCCTAGGTCCCCACTATAAAGTGTTGTCATCTTATGGAACTAAGGAAGCATGCCCTCTCTGTCATTGCCCCCACGCTCTGGAACAGCTTTACCCTCAGAGATAAGGACTATGCCATCTCTCCTGGGGTTCTGGAAAGCACTTATAACCTAGCTTTGGTCCCAGGCTTGGGATGGGTGCATTATTGTTGTTTGTTGAGCTACGCAGAAGATCTGTTTTGTTTTTGATTTGTATTGTTTTTGGATAATTTTACTATAGGCTGTTTGTGTGGTTTTATGTTTTATCTGTTTTTATGGATGGGTGGGGGTGTTGTATACCACCCAGAATCCCTTAGAGTTGGACAGCTATAATAAATAGTTAGTTTTCTTGGTGCAATCTCTCTTTTTTTATAGGCAATATAGCAATGGTTCTCAACCTTTTCTTCACCACAGACTCCTTTTTTTTGTAAAAGTTTCATTGGTTTTTTACAAAACATAATAACAAATAAAACATATTTTTTTGAGAACAGCATGATTCCAGGTTATCACATCTCCATACAGACAAAATCTCAATTACATATTCATCTTATATATTCAGTTTCATATCTTATCACAATTTTTTCAATTTCTCAATAATTTTTCTCTTCCCTTACTTTCCTTAATGTTATTTTATAATTATCTCATTTCTTTCTAATTCAATTACATTTCTTTTCCTAAATTTCTATATCTTTCTATTCATTATACTTGTACTTTTGTCTGTCCTGTTTACAATTTCATATATTCTCTTCTATCATCATCCTGAAAGAGAGAGGGAAAAAGATACTTCCCTCCCCTTCCAGGCATTAAAAAGCAAGATTCCCCCTGTAATTGCCAAACAGAGTGTCACCTTTGAATCTTATAATTATTGTCATTTCAAATCTCATTAAACATTTAATTTATACATTATACAATTATAACATTCAGTTTCTAATGTCTATTTTATATCATATAACTCTCATCAACCGAATTCTGCTTGGTACTTTCCCTTAGAAATACAAGATTCTAAAAAATAGAAATTATATATATATAAAAATAGTAAACAAAATAGTTATTCTATTCAAATTCATTCTAACAACTGGTATTGATTTCATTATAAATCTTTGACATTTCTTTTCAATTGTATTTTATAAGTCTTTAAGAACAATTAAAATATTTCCATTCCTTCTTATTTCAGTTTCTTTTACCTTTATTCCCTTTCTCTCATTATTACATTTAATTATTAGTAAGCATACCATTACAAAACAATACCAGTTTTATCTTGTAATTTAATCACCTGTTTCATTTCTAGCTCATTACTATTTCTACTATAACAACACTATCTTTTGTACCCTTGCAGAATTCTAACTTTTAATTTGATTTAACCATTATCACTATGTCTTCTAAATAAGCTAATACCTTTGATCCTTGTACGTTTCCCATTTCTTTATTTCCTGTTTTTGTCCCTTATAACTTCTTTTCCTTTTTATCTTTCCTCCCTTTTTCTCATCCCCCTTTTGTCCCCCCTCTCTCTAATTCTCCCTTCTGTAATTCTCTTTTCTGCTTCTCCTTACTGTTGTGTTTATTTTTCAAACTATTCTTTTTTTTAGTTGTTCCCTCAAATCTTAAGTTTTTAACTCCTTTCCCCCCTTTTTTCCATTTTCCATTGCATTATTTGATCATTAAAGATGGCTTCTTCTTTGTCCAGCCCTTCTTCTTGCTCTCCAAGCATTTCTTGTTGTTTTTCATAGTTCAAAATCTCCATTTCTAAGAATTGAAATACGAAGCTAAAAGATCCTCCTTCCTCTTGTGCCTCTTCTTTCATTTTTTAAAGTTCCATTTTTAATTCCTCAAGGAGTACTGCCATTTTAAACACTTTTAAACAACCACCCGATTGACTTTAATTAAAAATCCAACACCCAAAATTCTAAAAATCATCAAGTAATCCAAAGCTGTTTCTTCTTGCTTCTTTCTTCAACTTTTCCTTGCAGGGGGTTCTGTTATCTTTTAATGAAGTTTCAGTTACAATGTAACCTTTGGAAGTCTTTTTAAAGTTTCACTGTTAATCCCTTTTATTTCCAGGTGGACTCTCTGTTCTTTTCAAGTTCCACCCTTTTTCCTCCACTCTTCTCCTTTTAAGGGCTTTAGAGTATCCAGAAAGTCTTTATTTTCCTTCTGACATTTTGATTTCAGCTTAAAATTGCCTGTTAGTATCAAAGTAAATTATTACAAATTTCTTACTTAGATTTCTTCCTTTTAACATTCAAAGACGATTGTAACTGTCAATATGAGAAATTAAAAAAAGGATTTTTTCACTCCTTTTCTCTCTTCTTCGCCACTTTAAAAATCTTCTTTTAGGAATAAGACTCTTAATACTTTTAAATCCAGGGTATCTTGCTTAGATGTTGCCTCTGCTTAGCCCGGTCTGTCAAGCTCTTACTTTTGCCTTCCTCCTGCTCAATCTTGTCCAGTTGGGTTCTTCTTTGAGGTGGCCATTTCTGACCACCGCTGCAACCGCCTTTCGGAAAGGGAGTAATGGCCAGCTGAGGAGGAAGGATGCGGCTCCCCTCTACTCAGCTAGTGGTCTCCCCCCTCTTCGCCACCTCTACGGGGTGGCTTCAGCCTTGAATCCAAAGGCGAGCATGGATTGAAACTGCGCACGATCGCGGATTTCGGTCCATCGCCGAAGAAGCCCAAACCGGACGTCCTCGCCACAGACTCCTTTTAAATACCTTTTGTGGCCACTGACCATGGCCATGGACCCCCAAGACATAACTCAAGATTTAAATCATAACATGACTTCAAGCCTTCAGGGACCCCTATGACTATGGGCCCCCAGGAGGCTGCGGACCACAGGTTGAGAACCTCTACACTATACAATTAGTAACAGGATTAAAACAAAACATGAGTACCTCCTTCATTCCTCTGGGAAGAAATATAGGGAAGGCATTAATGCATATGGTGAGAAAAATTAAACACTTGCCATATGGTTGGCTTCCACTATGAAAAGCAGCCTGTCAAAGTATTGCAGTGCTTTTCTGAAGCAGCAGAGTGTGTAGGGAAGAGCCAAATGTGGAGAATATGCTACTCCATTTATCCATATAACTGTTATAAAAATTAGTTCAAGGATGGATGGATGGATGGATGGATGGATGGATGGATGGAT